GTTGCAGGCTCCTCCCTGGCCCAGGCCCTGGTTGGGCTCATGTAGAAGGCAACCAATTGATGTATTTCTCTCACATTGATGTTTCTCTCTGCCTTTCCCTCTCTCTAAAAAAAAAAAAAAATCTATGGAAAAATATCCTCACGTGAGGATTAAAAATAAGTAAATAAATAAAATACTTGCACACAGAGAAACTGGATTGTTCCTGTCTATAAGACTACTTCCAGCTAAATTCCATTGCAAGCATTTGCAATTTATGTTGTAGGGGGCTTTAGAGGTAATAATGAATAGTCTAATATTTTGAATTCAGGAACTATGCATTTGGCTTCTCAAATACATACAGTACTGATGTTAACCACCTGTCAAAGGCTAGTTTACAAGTATTATTGTGGATTTTTTTTGGGGGGGGGGCGGTTGCAAATATTTGGCAGTGCCACGAAGGTCAGATTTATTTCAACTCCACTGAGCGATCCATCACATTGACTGAACAAGCTGCCAGGTTGCCAAACCTGCCGTTTGTTTTACTGAACAAAACGCGCTGCAGCTGTGAGCTCTGAGTTTCACCGGGACTAGCTCTCGGCTGCTCCCGGGCTCCGTCTGCAAAGCGAGAGGAGAAGACGTGAGGTTTCTGCTCTGATTTCTGCTCTGACTCGTAAACGTGCACGGAAGGTGCAGTGTGTGTGCACACAAAGAAAGACACCACGCACACTGCAGAACAAGGAACTGCTCTCAGGCCCGTGGAGGAATGAGGTCCAGGGCGTCCGCGGCCCCATCCCTGGAGAGACAGAGCCCCACGGCCTCCCAGCGCCCTCAGCAGCGCTGGCAGGCACCCCTGGGCTTAACTGAAGACCGAAGACCGCCAGCGTCTCAGGAGGCCGGTTTGAGGTCTGAGAGCTCTGGGAAAGCGAGGCTCCCACACACCCGTGGAGCCCCCGCAGGCTCTCAGTGCGAAGGTCAAAGAAAAACGTCCTCTTCCTTCCGAGAAGCAAAGCAAATACGTTACAGCACCCGCAGAGCCAGGAGATCTGCTCTTGCCCTGTGCTCTGCAAGGAAGGCAGAAGCGGCGTTACCCATGTCTCCTCTGGCATGGAGAAAGGCCTTTAGTCTAAGGTGACCGACGTCCCACTTTTGGCGGGACAGTCCTGATTTTAAAAAATTTGTCCCGCATCCCCTGGTGTTTTAAAAAAGTCCCGAATTTGGAAAGATTCTTTTAAATCTTTTGGACTTTAAAAAAAAATTTTTTTTTGATTTTTTTTTTCACAGAGAGGAAGAGGGACAGAGTTAGAAACATCGATGAGAGAGAATCATTGATGAGTTGCCTCTTGCACACCTCCTATTGGGGATGTGCCCGCAACCAAGGTACATGCCCTTGACCGGAATCGAACCTGGGACCTTTCAGTCCGCAGGCCGACGCTCTATCCACTGAGCCAAACCGGTTTCTGCTCTTTTGGACTTTTTTAAAATGCCGTGGGACGCAGGACAAATTGTTAAAAATCGGGTCTGTCCCGCCAAAAGCGGGACATCTGGTCACCTTACTTTAGTCAGAGCCACTCCCTCTAGGTTTCCTGTCCCTCAGCCTAAGACCCCAGTGAGGGGACGGTCATCCACCACAAAAAAAAGAAATTTAGAAATTCTCTGGCCCTCACTGGTTTGGCTCGGTGGATGGAGCAACAGCCTGCAGACTGAAGGGTCCTAGGTTCGATTCCGGCCAAGGTCATGTGCCTTGGTTGTGGGCACATTCCCAAAGGGGGTGTGTGTGTGTGTGCAGGGATGGCTGATCCATGTTTCTCTCTCATCCATGTTTCTGGCTCTCTGTCCCTCTCCCTTCCTCTATGTAAAATATATTAAAAATATATATTTTATATATCAAAATATATTAATTGATATATTAATACAAAATTTTATATATTAATTGATATATTAATAAATATATCAGTAAAATATATTAAAAATCGTTTTTTGGTAACATTCTAGAATGTTTTCCCTTCCCAGGACCCAACCACCATATCTACAGGGCTCTGGGACAATGACAATCCATTACAAGGGAGGGAGCTGCAAGACACGGATTCCGTACAAGGAATTGCTAGAGATTCCATGTAAGAAGAACTAAGGACGGCAGGGAGAGCTAAAAAGGACACTCGAGGAAATGGAAGCCACACACACACACACACACACACACACACACGTACATTGAACCTCACACTAATGGCCTCGTTGCCTCAACCTGATTACCCTGTGCACCAGAGACAGAGCAGCCATTAGAGACAGACACAGATAGGCCGTGGAATTTGGACTTATCAGACCAGGAATTTAAAATACTGTAGCTCCGAGTAATATGCAAAGGGCCCCAATGGGAAAAGTGGATACTGTGCTAGAACAGAAAGTAATACAGCAGAGAGTAGGGGACTCTAAGAAGGAACCAAATGGAAAGACTAGAAATTAAAAACTCTGTAATAGGAATGAACGCCTCAAGAGTAGACTGGACGTGGCCAAGAAAAGAATCCATAAGCTTGAAGATGTGTCAATAGCAACCTTCCACACTGAAATACAAAGAGAAAATAGAATGAAAAGATGTAACAGAGCATTCAAGAACTGGGGACATTCACAAAAGGTGTATGCGCATAACGGGACTACCAGGAGGGAAAGAATGGGAAAGGAGTCGGGGGAAAATATTTAAAGTAATGATGGCTGTGCATTTCCCCAAATTAAGGACACACACCAAATCAAAATCAGGGGAAAGGCTCTGAAGAGATTTATTTCTTTTAAGAACAGACAAATGCATACAGGCGGAGATCGTGCCATTGGTTGCCAGAGTTTGGATGGAGGTAATTGGGATTGAATGGTAATAGCAGTGGTGTTTCTTGTTGGGGTGATGAAAATGGGCTACAATTAGATAATTATTGTCATTTCAAAGTTTCCCCAGGCATTAGACTTAGCAGAAAAAGACTCCAAAGCAGTTATTAAATGTTGCCAAAACAGGTTTGAGAACTAAAGGAAGGCATGCTAAGCATGACTTGTCAAATAAAATATGTCAATAAAGAGACAGATATTATAAAAGAAACTGCTTGAGAAGCACAATTGCTGAAGTGATATATCCACGAAGTGTCTCAGGAAAAAGAGTGACTGTGATGATAGCGCAATAGAGATGAAGAAACATGAAGATCAGGGAGAAAAGGATGGAGAATTCGCCAAGAAAGCATAACAACCCTTAACGTGTGTGAACCAGACAGCAGGGCATCAAAGTATGTGAGGTAAAAAGTGATTGAGCATCAGCCTATGAATCAGGAGGCCGTGGTTCAATTCCCGCTAAGGGTATATGCCTGGGCTGTGGGCTTGATCCCCAGTTGGAGGCATACAGGAAGCAGCTGATCAGTGATTCTCATCATTGATGTTTCTATTTCTCTCTCCCTCTCCCTTCCTCTCTGAAACCAATAAAAATATATATTAAAAAAAAACACAAAAAGCCCGATAGAACGGCAAGGAGAAATAGGTGAATCCACTATTACAGTTGCAGACTTTAATAGCCTTCTATAAGAAATTGCTCTAATCGGTTTGGTTCAGTGGATAGAGCATCAGCCTGTGGACTCAAGGGTCCCAGGTTCGATTCCGGTCAAGGGCATATCCCCAGTAGGGGGTTTGCAGGAGGCAGCTGATGGATGTTTCTCTCTCATCAATGTTTCTAGCTCTCTCTCCCTCTCCTTTCCTCTCTGTAAAAAATAAATAAAGTATATTTAAAAAAAGAAAGAAATAGACACGGCAGGCAGAGAATCGGCAAGGCCATAGTTGTACTCAGCAGCATCTTCAACCAAACATTTATGGACTACTTCATCCAACAAGAGCAGAATATGCATTCTACTCAAGTTCCTATGGAACATTCACCAAGCTATTTTGGGCCATAAAACACACCTCCCCAGTTTTTAATTGTAGATACTCTATAACGTACCTTCTCACACAGCGATGCCATTTAACTGGAAATCAGCCAGAAAAACATAGCTGGACTTCCCCCATATACTTGGAGATTACACAACACGCCACTAACTAACACATGGGTCAGGGGAGAGCTCTCAAGAGTAACTTACACGGTTCTTGAACTTCATGAGACTGAAGATGCAACTTATGAAAATGCGCTGGACGTTTCATGTTTGTAGTCATGGTTGAGGGGAATTTACAAGCATCGAATGCATAGATTAGACGAAAAGGAAGATCTAAAATCATTAAGCTAAGCTCCCATTTTCAGAAGCTAGAAGAAGAGCAAGTTAAATAAAAAAGAAGCTGAAGAAAAGATAAAAGTTAAATCAGAAACCCATGAAATTGAAAACAGGGAATCAACATAGGAAAGCAATGTAATCAAAAGGTAGATCTTTGAGGATGTCAATATTATTGACTCGAGACCCTGGCTCGGCCCCCGTTCCCCATTGCCCCCCACGCGGCCCCGCTTTGAGTACCGGAACTTATTTTCAGAGTGAACTCACGGCTTGGCTGGACCGGGAGGGGAACCCCAGTACCCCTCGGGAAGATCACGCCCTGTTTCGCCTGCTTTAACTGGACTTGTTTCTGAGCTCGTCCAACCACAGTGCCAGCCCAGCGCCTCCCCAGAAAACATAGGAAGGGTCTTCCTGAGCTCGGAGTCTCCCGGGGCCGGGGAAGGCCTGCCACCGGGAGGTTTGTTTGATGTGTGGGCAGAGTGGGGGGCAGAGTCCAGCGCTGCTGTGGGCGCTGCTGACGAAATCCGTGTCCACCGCGTAGACCTTGGGACAGTGCTGCCTGCCAGCTGGCGGCCAGGCCTCCGCTGACCATTCCTCTTCAGCTTTCGAGACCTCGCCAGCCGGCCCGGCCTCGGACACCTTGGACGGAGCGGCTCCAGGGCCCGCTGTCCGGAGCTCGGGGCCCCATTGGCGCCCTTTCATTCATGTGCCACCGAGGAAGGAGGCCGCGCCCCTGCCTGACCTCTGCTAGCCTCCGCCGCCTGTGCCCGCTCCCCGGGGCTCGCCCGCCGCCCCCCGATGGCCTTCCACACACTGCTGGACCAGGTGGGCGGCCTGGGCCGCTTCCAGCTGCTGCAGGTGGCCTTCCTCTGCCTCACCTGCTTCCTGGTGTGCCCGCACATCCTCCTGGAGAACTTCACGGCTGCCGCGCCCGTGCACCGCTGCTGGGTGCCCGCCCTGGACAACCGCACCGGCCTCCTCGCCGGCAACCTCACCGGCCACCTCGCCGGCCACCTTGCCGGCCTCCTCGCCGGCAACCTCACCGGCAACCTCACCGGCCACCTCGCCGGCCTCCTCGCCGGCCTCCTCGCCGGCAACCTCACCGGCCACCTCGCCGGCCACCTGCTGCGGGTCTCTGTCCCGCTGGACTCGGACCGGCGGCTGGAGGGCTGCCGCCGCTTCCGCCACCCCCAGTGGCAGCTCCTGCACCCCAACGGGACCGGGACCAACGCGAGCGAGGCGGCCACGGAGCCCTGCGCGGACGGCTGGGTGTACGACCCCAGCACCTTCTCCTCCACCATCGTGACCCAGGTGAGGGCCCTCACCTCCGTGCGTACGCTGCCGTCTGGGAGCTGGGGCGGGGGGGATGCGGGTGATGTCACCAGCGAGGGGCCCCTGGCTGCTTCCTTCAGCAAGTATGCGTGACTCCAGCACACGCCACACGCCTACATGCTTCACGAGCGTGGGAACCCCGAATTAGCCGTGACCTTGCTATGGCCTCGCTGTGTCTTCCACAGGAAGGCTGACGGGGAAGCGATTCGTGTGCGTAACGTGTTCACAATGTGTGTAAGGCCGGGGAGGCCCTGCCTCGCTGGGAAATGAGAAACACCGGGGACGTGGATGGAACCCTGCGGCCACAGGCCGTACGGCTGCAGCAGCCTGTGAGCAAGTCTGTGGTGGCATCCTGCCACCAGGAAATGCATTTATCTATGTATTAACATGTGTTTTTATTGATATCAGAGAGCAAGGGAGAGGGAGAGAGAGAGAGAGAAACATCAGTGACGAGATCGGCTGCCTCCTGCACACCCCCTGCTAGGGATTGAGCCTGCAACCAGGACATGTGCCCTTGACCGGAATTGAACCCGGGACCCTCAGTCCACAGGCTGATGCTCTATCCTCTGAGCCAAACCGGCCAGGGCAGTACATTTAAGGCTTCTCAAATGATTGTACTCTGTAGCCAGGATTGAGAAGTGCTGAGCATGGAATTAGCCACGGCATTCATATAGCCAGCGGGGCTAGGGGAGGCATCCCAGGGGAAGCTATGTTTAAGCTGAGACCTGGTGACAAAGGGAGCTGGAGGGGCAGCTGGAGGGGCAGCCGGGGGGGGGGCAGCCGGAGGGGCAGTGGGGAGGGGGCAGCCGGAGGGGCAGCCGGGGGGGCAGCTGGAGGGGCAGCCGGGGGGGCAGCTGGAGGGGCCGCTGGAGGGGCAGCCGGAGGGGCCGCTGGAAGGGCAGCCGGAGGCAGAAGGCTGTGCCGTGACGCCCGTGAAGGTCCCGAAGCTGTCCCTCGGTCTCCCTGAGGGGAAGAGGCGGCTGTGACGCTCGGCTGAGGAGGTTTCCTTCCCTTCCAGTGGGACCTGGTGTGTGAAGCTGAGACTCTGCGGTCCATGGCCAAGTTCTCGTTCATGGCGGGCATGCTGGTGGGCGGGGCCGTCTTCGGCCACCTGTCCGACAGGTGAGTGTCCGGTCACGCCGGACGCTGGGGCGGCTCCCTCCGTCCCACGAGCAGCACGGCCGGGCTGCACGGGGCTCTGGTCCATTTCAGACAGGAAGCCCTGTCAGACGTTATCGGCAAACACGCCCCCGTCCAGTAGTTGCCTTTTCATGTTGCTGACGGTTCCTTTGCAGATTCTTTCTAGTCTGATGCAGTCTCATTCGTCTATTTTCCCTTCTGCTTCCCTCGCCGGAGGAGGCACGTCAGAGAAAGTGTGACTTAGGAGGCGTGTCTGCCATCTCGCTGCCTGTTTTCTCCTGCGAGTTTTATAGTGTCGAGTCTTACGTTTAAGTCTAATCCGTTTTGAGTTTATGCGTGGGTCTGCTGCTCGAGGGTGGCCTGTTTCATTGTTTTGCCTGTACCTGTCCAATTTTCCCAACGCCGTTTATCGGGTGGACTGTCTTTCCTCCGTTGTACATTCTTGCCTCCTTTGTAAGATGCTAATTGGCCACCTCGTTGTGGGTTTATTTCTGGGCTCCCGTCTATCCCATCGTCTGAGACGTCTGTTTCACGCTGGTCCACACTGTTTCGATCGTGATGGCCTCGTAGCATAGATTGGTGTCTGGTCTCATGATTCTCCCAACTCTGTTCTTTCTCTGTTTAACGCTTTTGGATTGTGGTTGACAGCCGGTGACTGAGACCACGCAAAGCACCACCTGGGCTGGAAGAGAACACGGGGGGCAGCTGGTTTACACGGTGTCACTGCGCCCAGATTTCCAAACAGAAGATCTATTGTTTTTACTTATTAAATATATTTTATTGATTTTTTTACAGGGAGGAAGGGAGAGAGATGGAGAGCTAGAAACATCGATGAGAGAGAACCATCCATCAGCTGCCTCCTGCACACCCCCTACCGGGGATGTGCCCACAACCAAGGTACATGCCTTTGACCGGAATCGAACCTGGGACCCTTGAGTCCGCAGGCTGATGCTCTATCCACTGAGCCAAACTGGTCAGGGCTGGGATGATCTATTGTTGATTCTCCCTGGTTTCAAGTGCAACGTCTCACAGAAACATCAACTACCTGTCAAGAAGCCATCTTTGCTGAAACCGGTTTGGCTCAGTGGATAGAGCTTCGGCCTGCGGACTGAAAGGTCCCAGGTTCGATTCCAGTCAAAGGCATGTATCTTGGTTGAGGGCACATCCCCGGTTGGGGGTGTGCAGGAGGCAGCTGATGGATGTTTCTCTCTCATCGATGATTCTCATACTCTGTCTCTCTCTCTTCCTCTCTGTAAAAAAAAAATCAATAAAATATGTTTATTTATTTATTTATTTATTTATTTTTTAATATATTTTATTGATTTTGTACAGAGAGAAAGGGAGAGAGATAACGAATTAGAAACATCGACGAGAGAGAGTCATCGATCAGTTGCCTCTTGCACACCCCCTACCGGAGATGTGCCCGCAACCAAGGTACATGCCCTTGACCGGAATCGAACCCGGGACTCTTCAGTCCCCAAGCTGATGCTCTATCCATTGAGCCAAACCGGTTTAGGCAATAAAATATGTTTAAAAAATAAATCTAAAAAAAAAAAAAAAGAAGCAGCCTCCTTTGTGTCGGTTTTTGGACAGCCCGTTGCCATGCCCGCCTCTCCCCGCCCGCCCCAGGTTCGGGAGGAGGCTGATCCTGCGCTGGTGCTCCCTGGCGCTCGCCATCGCCGAGACCGGCGCGGCCTTCGCGCCCCTGCTGGCCGTGTACTGCGCGCTGCGCTGCCTGGCCGGCTTCTGCATCATGGGCGTCCTCAACAACAGCTCGGTGCTCAGTGAGTCCTTCCCTCCTCCACCCGCTCCCCCCAGGGGCCCCGTGTTCTCCCAGCCCGGCATTGGCTCTGGGGTCCCGGCCTCGTCTGAAGTGAACCCCGTTTGCGCTTCCTTGCAGTCATGGAGTGGACGGCGCTCCGCTTCCAGGCCCTGGGGGTGACCACGACCATCGGCGCGGCCAGCGTGGGCCAGCTGCTTCTGGGGGCCGTGGCCTTCGCCGTCCGCGACTGGCAGACGCTGCAGCTGGTGTACTCCCTGCCGCTGTTCGTCCTGTTCCTCTCCTCCAGGTACAGCGCCCCCTTCCCGCGTCGGAGGGCCCAGGGGCGCGGGTCCCAGAAGGAGGACACGGAAGGCGCTCCTGTGCGCAGGCGGCACCGGGCACACGCTCCGGGCTGTTCTTGTGCAGGGTCCCGGGCCCAGGCCGGGCAGGGCCACCAGGCAAAACAAGGACACGCAGCGAAACGTAATTTTTTTTTTTTTAAAGTGAATTTCAGAGAAGCAACAACCCCTTTTTTTTTTTTTTTTTTTTTACTTCTCATAGCCATTTTCAGGGGCCTTAATGAGTTCAATATCTTTAAGGCTCGTCACGCTGCTTTATGGTGGCCAGCTTTCTCTAAATCTCCGCAGGAACACACTCAGGGAAGCAGGTGTGCTGGCTGGCTGCCGCGGCCCCTTCTGTAGGACTCCCCGAGCCCGACAGCGTGGTGCCCGCGGCCCCTCAGCTTTGTGTGTCTGTGGTTTCTGTTGACCTGAGAGGGCCTGGGTGTCCGTTCGCGAACCTGATAACATGCAGGGGGTCGCAAGCCAGTGAAACGTCACATGAACACGTTCTCCCGAGCGTGTCCAGAAGGTCGCGCGGAGCGTAGGGACACCTGGCAAAGCAGCTTAGCGGAATTTCGACTTTCAGGAGGCACACCTCCTTTTTATTTGCTGAAACGGAGTCTGCTCCCTGGGCGGCAGGGGGGCCGACATGACGCCTCCTCTGTATCCCCAGCCGTGAAGGTGTTTCGTGGAGAGGGCGCCCTCCCAGTGTCCTAGTTTCGGTCCCGGAGGCCCTAAGCCCCCTTCCCCGGGATAAGGAGGCGGAGGTAGGTATGGAGGGGAGGGCGCGGCGCTGCAGGCAGAGGCTGCGGGCAGGGGCGGGCGCGACCCGGCTGCCCCTCTGTGCCCTCTCGGACCAGGTGGCTGGCAGAGTCCGCCCGGTGGCTGATCACCGCCAACAGGCCGGAGGAGGGCTTGCGGGAACTCAGAAAGGCCGCCCGCATGAACGGAAGGAAGGAGGCCGGAGACGCCCTCACCATGGAGGTGAGCGGGGAAGGGCGGCTGTGGGATGCAGGGGAGATGTGCGCTGACACGTATGCACCCCACATGGTGTGATGAATGGGAATCCCCGTCATGTTACTCAGTGTCCCTGGTCCCATGTATGCGCCCCGCATGGTGTCCGTGCGGAGAGTGAAGGGCGGGAATCCCTATTGTGTTGTCCGGCGTCCCTGGTCCCCGGCGGCGGTCAGCGCGGTGTGAGGGGACGCAGGGACTGTCCCCCACAGAAGGGTCACTCGCAGGGACCGAGCTTGTGTGGGGGTCACTTAGCAGCATGTCCTCAGGGTTGGCTGGTGCAGCAGATGCAGGACCTCCTTTCCTTTAAAAATGTTTATTGGTGTCAGAGAGGAAGGGAGAAGGGGAGAGAGAGAAGAGTCCATGATGAGAGACAGTCATGGACTGGCTGCCTCCTGCACGCCCCCTACTGGGGATCGAGCTTGCAACCCGTGCATGGGCCCTGGACTGGAATCGTACCTGGGACCCTTCAGTCCTCGGGCCGATGTTCTTTCCACTGAGCCAAGCCGGCTAGGGCAGGATTTTCTTTGAATGAATGATACGCACTCACCACATTGTCTTTATCCACCGATGGGAAGTTAGGCTGTGGCCAGTGGCTTGGCTTTTGTGACTAGTTCTCTAATGAGTGTGTGTGTGCAACTCTCTCTCCCGGATCTCATTTACAGTTCTTTTGGAGATAGACCCAGATGAGAAATTATGGCATCATATGATGGTTCTAATTTTAATTAAAAAAATATATCTTATTGATTTTTTTATGGAGAGGTAGGGAGAGGGATAGTTAGAAACACTGGTGAGAGAGAAACATCAACCAGCTGCCTCCTGCACACACCCCACTGGAGATGTGCCCACAACCAATGTACATGCCCTTGACCGGAATCAAACCTGGGACCCTTGAATCTGCAGGCCGACGCGCTATCCACTGAGCCAAACCGGCTAGGGCTCTAATTTTAATTTCTTGAGGAACCTCCATACTGTCTCCAGAGTAGCTACACAGTTTCACATCCCCTCCAGGGTGTCCTCTCCTCCACGCCCTCACCAGCTCTGACCGACTCTCTTCAATCACAGCCGTCCTGGCTGGTGTGAAGTGACAGCTCAATGTGTTTCGTAATAATTACTGATGATGGGCACCTTCCCACGTGCCCGCTTGCCGTTTGTATGTCGTCTGGAGAAATGTCCGTTCCGTTCGTGTGCCTGTTTTTATTTTATTTATTTATTTATTTTAAAAAAATATATTTTATTGATTTTGTACAGAGAGGAAGGGAGAGAGATAGAGAGCTAGAAACATCGATGAGAGAGTCATCGATCAGCTGCCTCTTGCACACCCCCTACTGGGGATATGCCTGCAACCAAGGTACATGCCCTTGACGGGAATCGAACCCGGGTTCCTTCAGTCCCCAAGCCGACGCTCTATCCATTGAGCCAAACCGGTTCCGGCGGTGTGCCCGTTTTTAAATTGAGTGGTTTGGCTGTTTTGCGGTTGAATGGTCGGAGCTCCCTGCGTGTTGTGGCCATGAGCCCTGTGTCACACACCCAGTGTGCGAATGTCTTCTCCGATCTGCAGGCGCCTTCTCGCTGTGCTCACTGCCCCTCGCTGTGCGGAAGGCGTTGGGTTTGCTGCCGTGTCCCCGCCCTCTCCCCGCCCCCCCATCCTGTCTATGTCGGCTTGTAGCCTGTGCTCTCGGTGTCACATCCAAGAACTCATTGCCAACACCAACGCCGAGAAGTTGCCTTTAGGAACCTCACAGTCTCAGGTCTCACACGTTGGTCTCTAACCATTGGAGGTGATGTTTGGGTGCAGCGTCAGATACGTTCCCCAGGTCACGCCCCGGCCTGTGGCTGTCCGGTGTCCCAGCGCCATTTGCCGACGACACTGTCCCATCCCCGTTGTAAATCCTTGGCGCCACGATCGGAGACCAACGGGCTGTGCGCGCATGGGCTCTGTGCTCTGTTTCCGGGGTCTGCATGTGAGTTTTGGGGCCAGGACCACCTCCTTGGTGACTGGAGCTTTGTGATAGATTTTGAAATCAGAACATGTGATGCCTCTGGCATTTTTATGCTCAAAGAAGTGCTGTGGCTATTTAGGATCTCTCTTGTCATCTGAAACCGAGTGAAAACCAAAATAGACTCTCAGGAAATGCTCTTTCTTCCCGACACAAACCGTGCGCGCAAAGGACGGCCAGCCCTGACCCAGGCTTAGCTCCCAGGTCTCTCCTGCCCGTCTGACGTCCATGGGGTTTGGACCACGATCCAAGGGCCCGCCTCGCTGCCCTCCCTGAGCTGACTGTCTAACGGGCACGCCCCTCGTCCAATCTCATGTCTAGTGTCTCGGTGGCTACACCACTTCCTCAAGGCTCCTGAGCTCCCTGACTCCACCGCCCCCCCCCCCCCCCCCCGTACGTGGCCTTATTTGCCGTAGACAGAGGGGAGGGGGCCACCTAGCCCACTGCCGGGGCCCACGGTGCCCGCAGCGCTGTGTGACCGACTGGGGTGCCGTTGCTGCCGTTGCAGGTTTTGAGGGCCACCATGCAGGAGGAGCTGGAGGCGGCGCAGACCAAGCCTCCTGTGTCTGACTTGTTCCGCACGCCCAACATGCGTGCGAGGATCTGCCTCCTGTCCTGCGTGCGGTAGGCTTCCCGGCGTGCGTGGGGGAGGCTGAGTCTCGCGGGCGTGGCCCCGTCTCTCCGAGGACACCCCGTGTCTCTCCGAGGACACCCTGGGCGTGGGTGCAGAGTCGGGGTAACCCACGAGGAAGCCGTGGGGAACGCGGCCTCGTTCAGAGACAGGCAGAGAGCTGGAAGGACGGGCACGGAGCTGAGGGCCCGGGGAGGTGTGCCCTCTGCCACCCCGCCCCACCGGGCTCATCCCGGAGCCGAGGCTGGAACTCTCGGTCGCGGCACAGGTTTTGATTTCAAGTTTCCCCACTTGTTTGTTTCTGGTGTAATTTCAGTAAAACTACAAACGGTAACGCACACAGCAGCACAGCTCTGTGACTAGCCACGTGCGAATAAGCAGCCGCACCCAGATCGGGATGGGGAAAGGACGGGAAAACCCTAGAAGCCCCACCACCTGCCCGAGAGCACAACACGCCCCACCCCGGAAACACTTCCAACCATCTGAGCCCATCAGCACACAACACTCCACGACGGTTTTAAAGTCATGGTCCTGCAAAGACTTATTCTACAGAACCGACCAAGTCTTTATTCTTAACAAAAACAAAACAAAACAAAAAGAAAAACAAAACAAAAACATTTTTACTGATTTCAGAGGGGAAGGGAGAGGGCGAGAGAGACAGAAACCTCAGTGATGAGCAGGAATCATGGATCCGCTGCCCCCTGCATGCCCTCGAACTGGGGATGGAGCCCTGACTGGAATCAGACCGTGACCGCCTGGTTCATAGGTTGACGCTCCGCCACGGGGCTGCCGCCGCGGGCTCTATGCCTCACGCCGTCTGCCTCTCCTCTCCCGCTCCCCGCAGGTTTGCGAACTTCATGCCGTTCTTCGGCCTGAGCCTGCACCTGCAGCACCTGGGCAGCAACGTGTTCCTGTTCCAGGGCCTCTTCGGCGCCATCACCCTCCCGGCCAACTACGCCGGCCTGCTGGCCATGAGCCGCCTGGGCCGGCGGCCGAGCCAGGCGCTCTTCCTGGTCCTGCTGGGCAGCGCCATCCTGGCCATCACCTTCGTGCCTCGAGGTGAGGAAGGGGCGCAGGTTGGAGAACGGAACCGGCTCCCCCTTTTCCCGGGGAGCCTACCCACACCGTGTGAGGCCGGACAAAAAGGGGAAATGCCTTCTAGCGGCTTCCCCAGACCAGGCTCGGGACGGAGGTCAGATCCCCCTGGCGGAGGAGGAGTGAAAAGTCAGGGAAGTCAGTCCGGACACCAGGCTGTCTCCATGGACCCGGATGATCTGGGGACAGTGACTCCCTCCGCTCGGGGTGCCTGAGTCTCGCTGTCCCCCCGCTGCAGACATGCAGACCCTGCGCGTGGCCCTGTCGACGCTGGGCGTGGGGTTTTCGTCAGCGGCCATCATGTGCTCCCTGGCCCACGGGAACGAGCTCATCCCCACCGTCGTCAGGTACGGAGGCCCCACCGGGTCACACAGCCCTTTCCCGGTGGGAACGTGACAGTGGGGAGCAGATAGACCGATTAGCCACCAAAACAAGCCATTACAACAACAATTAATTAAAAAGAAACATTTTCATTGATTTCAGAGAGGAAGGGAGAGGGAGTGAGAGAAAGAGAAACATCAATGGTGAGAGAGAATCGTTGATGAGCTGCCTTTTGTATGTCCCCTACTGGGTATCGAGCCCACAAAGTGACCTCCTGGGTCACAGGTTGACACTCAGCTATTGAGCCATGCCACCGGGCTAACAACAATTTATAGGTAAAGTTTATTAAAAAAAATTTAAAAAATATATATTTTATTGATTTTTCACAGAGGGTAAGAGAGAGGGATAGAGAGAAACATTGATGAGAGAGAATCATCGACCAGCTGCCTCTTGCACACCCCCTACTGGGGATGTGCCCGCAACCAAGGTACATGCCCTTGACTGGAATCGAACCTGGGACCCCCGAGTCCGCAGGCCGATGCTCTATCCACTGGGCCACACCGGTCAGGGCTAGGTAAAGTTTATTTACGGCTGACTTTTTGCCAGGCGCCGGGTTGAGTCCTTTAAAGTATTGTATCATCTCACGTATTCTCCTGAACCGCTGAGAGGTGGACGCTGTGGGGAGAATATTTTCTCAGTAATGACAATGGCTGAGTGCTCTTGTGCACTGGAAAAGTCTGCAAGCAGCGGGGGAGCGTGTGTGAGACGGGGCGGTGCGCCGTCAGCCTTCGGTGTCTGTCTGGACGCGGCTGTGCGTCTCCCACAGCCGGAGCGCCGTGAGCCGGCCGGCAGGTGCGGGCTCTGACCGGACTGCTTTTGCGTTGCTGCTTGCCCTCCAGGGCCACGGCGTCCGGGATCGTGGCCATGGCTGGTAACATCGGGGCGGCCGTGGCCCCCCTCCTGATGATCCTGGCGGCCTACTCCCCCCACCTGCCCTGGATCCTCTACGCCGTCTCCTCCTTCGTCCCCAGCCTGGTCGTCCTCCTCCTCCCTGAGACCCGGAACCGGCCTCTGCCCGACTCCATCCAGGACGTGGAAAAGGAGTGAGTGGGGGTGCTGGGGGCGCTGGGGCTCGGGGCCGTGACGAGGAAGGCAAACAACACGGTGTCACCGCCCTCTGGCGGGGCAGGCCAGGACAGGTCCCTCCCCGCGGTGACCTCTGGCTTCCCCCCGGGCCGCACGGACCCGCCCTGCCCAGCCAGCACAACCCCGCGCAGATCCAAACACCAGCTTTAGCCCCTGGTGCCCCGGGCCCCGGGCATGCTCTCAGGGACGCTGGTCCCTGGAGAATCTGAGGGGGGCAGGGAGGGGACCCCACACACACAGAGGCCCATTTCCCAGGGAGGGAGGGCTGCCTTTGACAGTCAGACCATCTGGGGGTGCAAGTGCTGAGCAGAGAGGAAAGGGGGAGGCAGAAGGTGGCATTGTAGACGACCGAGGATTGGGGGGACTTTTGGGAAGGTTTCGCCCACTTCCCTTGCCTTTTCCAAGTCCCTTTGGCCAACGTCACGTGCTCAAAGCTTCAAAGCTGCCTTCCCGGGTCCCGGCCTGCGAACGTGGCCTCTTCCTCCATATCATCCACTCAGACCCTCGGGGCAGGGGCCACGGTTTTCATCAAAGGGGCCGAGGTGGGTGGAGGATTAACTCGCTCTAAAGGACACACAACATGCATGTTTTTTTTTTTTTTTTTTTTTTTTTAATGTTTTGTGTTTGTTTGGTGTTTTCCTTGTGTTTGTTCCAGGAGAAAAGGCTCCAGAAAAGCAGAAGAGCAAGACGCCTTCATAAAAGTGACCCAGTTTTAAGGAATTCCAGGAACGGACTGCTAATCCAGGAAAAAAAAAGGGGGGAGGAGGGGGCATTCCTAGGTGTTGGCAAACGGGAAATAAATAAATAAATTAAAAGCTATAATGAAAAAGATGTTTCCCACCGACAATTGCAGTCCTAAATAACTATGGATGAAACACCTGTGATTAATCATACGAAGAAGTGTGAGAAAGGTCATCATGCTCTTAAAACATCAAGTGCAACGTCTCACTTGGGATGGGGCAGATGCTGCGTGGGCCGGGGGGGGGGACGGGCAGGACAGACTCCACACCTCTCCGGGGCCCGCAGCGAGGTCCCCCCGGACAAGGAGAAGCAAACACTGAGCTGACTGGATGCACAACCTGAAGCTGGAGGCTCCGGCCGTTCGCAGGCAGGAGGGGCGGCGGCGAGGAGGCGGCGTGTCCTTTCCTGAGCGACAGGTTTGCGCCACTGGTCACCCGGCTTCAGAGAAAACCCCTGCAGCGCCCGCCCCGAGGCAGCACCCAGCACCCCACGTGGGACCGCGGGCAGAATCACACCCACAGCTCCGGACCGGGGGCCAGAGCAGGCTTCCCTCCTGTGGGCGTCTCACCAGAGGCTTCACCCCAGACACTGACATGAAGCCTGGGGTTGCCACGTGTGTGGGGTGCCCCCCGCGCGGCCTCAGGACCGAGGAGGGTGGGTGAGCCCCTCCGGGAGGGTCCCCCCTCGGCCTGGGCGGCCTGCAGCCACCGATGCCACAATGAAAGTGTTTACAATGAAACGGAACTTTGGATCCTGGTTCAGAGGCGGTCTCGCCCTAGCCTGTGTAACGGCAGAGGGACTGAAGGGAGCCGATGGGAACTCAGTGGACTCTCGGCGAGTCCAGCTGATGTGGGGACTGGAGGAAATGGCTATGCCTGGTCGGGGTTCACAGACACGGGGTGCTTAGCCACCAGCGCCGGGCTGAGCAGAGAGAGGCCCTCCCTGGGGAAGACAATCAGTGACACCCCCCACCCCTCGCCCCACTCCAGGGTCTATGGTCTAGGAGGAGCTGGAGGGGGGATTGCTAGGAAAAGAATGGGGGGGGGTCAATCAGAGAGTTTCATTGCAGGGCCATAGCGGGTTTGGCTCAGTGGGTAGAGCCTTGTCCTGCGGACTAAAGGGTCCCGGGTTCAGCGCCGAGACCGGTTTGGCTCAGTGGATAGAGCGTCGGCTTGGGGACTGAAGGGTCCCGGGTTCGATTCCGGTCAAGGGCATGTACCTTGGTTGCGGGCATATCCCCAGCAGGGGGTGTGCAAGAGGCAGCTGATCGATGACTCTCTCTCATCGATGTTTCTAACTCTCTATCTCTCTCTCCCTTCCTCTCTGTACAAAATCAATAAAATATATTAAAAAAAAAAAAAAAAAAAAAAAGGGTCCCGGGTTCAATTCCGGTCAAGGGCACCTGCCTCGGTTGCAGGCTCCCCCCTGGCCTGGGCCTTGGTTGGGACACGTGCAGGAGGCAACCAATCGATGTGTTTCTCTCACATCCATGTTTCTCTCTGTCTTTTCCTCTCTCTTCCACTCTCTAAAAATCAATGGGTAAGTATCCTCAGGTGACGATTAAAAAAGAGTTTCACTTTCTCCAAATGGGAGAAGGCTCCCGGGAGGTCCCAACAGCCTTTATGGCTCCCTCCCGCCCTCTCCCAGGGCCTCCTCGGGTGGTTTCAGCGCCCCCCGATGACTGCCAACACCCGTCCTAATTTACATAATCCGTCATGTCATCATTCTTCCAAAGGCAAAAACCACGCCTAGCTTTCCCTCATTCACACAGTAGAAGGCCCATTGGTTAAGTTATTCTACATACTAGAAGTCCGGTGCATGACATTTGTGCACAGGGATGGGGTGGTGTGTGTGTGTGTGTGTGTGTCCCTCAGACCAGCCTGCATCCTCTCCATTCTGGGATCCCTCCACAATCCAGGACTGCTGGCTCCCAACCACCTGCCTGCCTGATTGCCCTTAACTGCTTCTGCCTGCCAGCCTGATCACCCCCTAACCACACCCCTGCTAGCCTGATCAATGCCTAATTGCTCCCCTGCCGGCCTGATTGACCCTAACTGCCATCCCCTGCAGGCCTGATTGCCCACAACTGCGGCCATCTTGTATCCACATGGAGGTGGCCATCTTGTGTGTTGGAATGATGGTCAATTTGCATATTACCTCTTTATTATATAGGATTATCATATAGGATTCATCTGAAGTCAATGAAAACAGGAATTTCACATTTTCTGATACTGATAAGGTAGAAAAGCAAGATAAAGGGCCTTATTGGTTATACTTTAAATTAGGGCTTTTAAGTAATCCTATGAAATAAAAGGCTACTATGCAAATTGGCCCCTAGATTGGGAGTTCAACCGGGAGTTTGACCAGGGGGCGGGGCCAGTGGGCAAACTGCCTGTGGCCCCTCCCCCTGTCTGCTCCGCCCCCAACCAGCCCCCCCAACCCCGATCAGGGTGGGCCCACTGGACCTCACCCGTGCACAAATTCGTGCACTGGGCCTCTAGTAAAGAATAAAGCTACGTGTGATCTTTACGAGGAAAATATTTCCTGGGAAAGGTGTTCTAGGCTCAGGCTCAGCTGCCCCTGAGCAGTGGGGCCAAGGTCTTCGGATCCCTCCTCCCTTGACCGGCACCGCAGGTCACCGAGGGCAGGGCTGCACGACCCGGACAAGCTAGAGACACGTCGGTTCCACAAAAAGGGTGTCTGTAAGGAGTTCTTATTACTGAGAACATTCCAGAAGCTTTCCAGGATGTACCTGATGGTGTGCAAGCATCACAGACGAGGTTCGGCCTAAGGAACAAGCAAGACCCCCGTCTGCAGAGTGGGATGACGCTCGCCGTGCTCACAGCTGGGTAATAAATATCGGATTCTCCCCTCCCTGCGAGTCCAGGGGTCCAGTCACACGCACGGGGCCCACTTCTAACGGGGTCACGGGACACACCCAGGCTCTTCCGGAAGCTCTCGCGTTCCTTACGTGGGGCGGCCGGGCGGGGCGGCCGGGGAGCAGAGGGAGGCCGCCCCTGTGCCGCCGCCCGGCTCCTCGCTGGCGTCCTCAGTCGCTCCCGGCGGTGACTGCTTTGGGCCGGATGCTCTCCACCACGGCCGAGAGCATGGCTCCCGCCGCCTTCGCCCCCTGCACCAGGACCTCCTCCACCTGCAAAGCACACCGCCCACAGGGCACTCGGGCAGGGTCCTGGGCTGGCGTCCGGCCCCACCGCCACCTCACCACCCCCTTCAGGAACCGGCCCGCCCGGAGCCTCTTCCGGGAACAGGAAGCAACCTGTGCTTCAAGGTCAAAGACCCCAGAGCTGCCAAACCCAGAGAAGCCAGGGCGGCCGGCTCGGTAGGCCCTTTCCCCGGTGCGGGGGGCACTGGGCTCCCCGTCCCTTCCTGCCTCACAGCCATTCAGCCCGGGCCCGTTCGGAGGAAGTGGGGGGCTCCTGAATCCCCTGACCCCCGGGTCTCCTTTTTGTGTGCAAACCACGGCCCTGGTGCTGCCGTGGGGCTCATGGGAAGGGGGGATGCAGAGGAGGAAGATGCGGAAAGTGAGAAGCAGGAGGGCGAGTGTGGGAGGCCCGCCCCCCCCACCCCCACCCCCACCCCGTTGCCGGGAGATGGGGCAGCACAGTACAGAGAGCGATGCTGGGATCCGCCCAGGGTGTTAGGAAAACACGGGGAACGTGAGGAGAACCTGGAAAAAGGACCTGCCTCATTTAATCCGATTTTTAAAAACCTCCTGCACGGCGATGGCACTTCCTCTGCGCTTCCCGGGGCGTTTAACGGGGCGCAGAGGCTAACGAGAGAGCGCACACTGGCACAGGGACTCGCCCTCAAAGCTCCAGTGCCACAGTGACTGTCCCCCATATTATAGGGGGTGAGGGGCGCACACACGCAAAGGCAGTGGGCCAGGCGGGTGTGTGGTGACACCGGTAGGTGACAAGCTTACCCACCACCACCCACCGAAAGGGGGCGCCACAGACCATCAGCCAGGGCGAACACGGGCCCCAGGGCGAACACAGGCCCCAGGGTCTGATCGATGGGTTGTTCAGAGCGGCTGGGAATCCGTAGTGTTTAATATAAAATTTCTATATTTTTAAACGCAGGCAAATAAGTAAGAAATGCTAGTCACTCAATTTGCAACGTTAGCAGCTAAGCACCTGCCTTGGTTAACCCCGTCTGTAAAGGCAGAGACTGTCTCGGAGGCAACATGGCTCCACCAAGGAGACCAGGCCAGCGATGGCCCAGCCGGACCCACCAGTGGTTCGACCACGTTGCCCAGTGCCTGCTGGCCCCTGGGCACACGCCCACCTGCTGGCCCCGGGCACACCCACCTGCCGGCCCCGGGCACACGCACCTGCCGGCCCCGGGCACACGCCCACCTGCTGGCCCCCGGGCACACCCACCCGCCGGCCCCGGGCACACGCACCCGCCGGCCCCGGGGCACACCCACCCGCCGGCCCCGGGCACACGCACCCGCCGGCCCCGGGGCACACCCACCCGCCGGCCCCGGGCACACCCACCCGCCGGCCCCGGGCACACCCACCCGCCGGCCCCGGGCACACGCACCCGCCGGCCCCGGGCACACGCACCTGCCGGCCCCGGGCACACGCACCTGCTGGCCCCGGGCACACCCACCCACCGGCCCCGGGCACACCCACCCGCCGGCCCCGGGCACACCCACCCGCCGGCCCCGGGCACACCCACCCGCCGGCTCCGGGCACACCCACCCGCCGGCCCCGGGCACATGCACCCGCCGGCCCCGGGCACACGCACCTGCTGGCTCCGGGGCACACCCACCCGCCGGCTCCGGGGCACACCCACCCGCCGGCCCCGGGCACACCCACCCGCCGGCCCCGGGCACACGCACCCGCCGGCCCCGGGCACACCCACCCGCCGGCCCCGGGCACACCCACCCGCCGGCCCCGGGCACACGCACCTGCCGGCTCCGGGCACACCCACCCGCCGGCCCCGGGCACACCCACCTGCCGGCTCCGGGGCACACCCACCCGCCGGCCCCGGGCACACCCACCCGCCGGCCCCGGGCACACGCACCCGCCGGCCCCGGGCACACGCACCCGCCGGCCCCGGGCACATGCACCCGCCGGCCCCGGGGCACACGCACCTGCCGGCCCCGGGCACACCCACCCGCCGGCCCCGGGCACACCCACCCGCCGGCTCCGGGCACACCCACCCGCCGGCCCCGGGCACATGCACCCGCCGGCCCCGGGCACACGCACCTGCTGGCTCCGGGCACACGCACCTGCCGGCCCCGGGCACACCCACCTGCCGGCCCCGGGCACACGCACCTGCCGGCCCCGGGGCACACCCACCCACCGGCCCCGGGCACACCCACCTGCTGGCTCCGGGGCACACACACCTGCTGGCTCCGGGCACACCCACCCGCCGGCCCCAGGGCACACGCACCTGCTGGCTCCGGGCACACCCACCCGCCGGCCCCGGGGCACACCCACCCACCGGCCCCGGGGCACACCCACCTGCTGGCTCCGGGGCACACACACCCGCCGGCCCCGGGCACACGCACCTGCTGGCTCCGGGGCACACGCACCTGCACATGCACCTGCTGGCCCCGGGGCACACATGCCCACTGGCTCCCGGGGCACACGCACCTGCTGGCTCCAGGGCACACCCACCCGCCGGCCCCGGGCACACGCACCCGCCGGCCCCAGGCACACCCACCCGCCGGCCCCGGGCACACACACCCGCCGGCCCCCGGGCACACCCACCCGCCGGCCCCGGGCACACCCACCCGCCGGCCCCGGGCACACGCACCCGCCGGCCCCGGGCACACGCACCTGCTGGCCCCGGGCACACCCACCCGCCGGCCCCGGGCACACCCACCCGCCGGCCCCGGGCACACGCACCCGCCGGCCCCGGGCACACCCACCCGCCGGCCCCGGGCACACCCACCCGCCGGCCCCGGGCACACCCACCCGCCGGCCCCGGGCACACGCACCCGCCGGCCCCAGGCACACCCACCCGCCGGCCCCGGGCACACGCACCCGCCGGCCCCAGGCACACCCACCTGCTGGCCCCGGGCACACCCACCCGCCGGCCCCGGGCACACCCACCCGCCGGCCCCGGGCACACGCACCCGCCGGCCCCGGGCACACCCACCCGCCGGCCCCGGGCACACGCACCCGCCGGCCCCGGGCACACGCACCCGCCGGCCCCGGGCACACGCACCCGCCGGCTCCGGGCACACCCACCCGCCGGCCCCGGGCACACCCACCCGCCGGCCCCGGGCACACGCACCTGCCGGCCCCGGGGCACACACCCACATGCTGGCCCCCCGGCACACACCCACCCACCGGCCCCCGGGCACACCCACCCGCCGGCCCCGGGCACACGCACCTGCTGGCTCCGGGGCACACCCACCTGCTGGCCCCGGGCACACGCACCCGCCGGCCCCGGGCACACCCACCCGCCGGCCCCGGGCACACCCACCCGCCGGCCCCGGGCACACCCACCCGCCGGCCCCGGGCACACCCACCCGCCGGCCCCGGGCACACGCACCTGCCGGCCCCGGGCACACCCACCCGCCGGCCCCGGGGCACACGCACCTGCTGGCCCCGGGCACACCCACCCACCGGCCCCGGGGCACACCCACCTGCTGGCCCCGGGCACACCCACCCACCGGCCCCGGGCACACGCACCTGCTGGCCCCGGGCACACGCACCTGCTGGCCCCGGGCACACGCACCTGCTGGCTCCGGGCACACCCACCTGCTGGCCCCGGGCACACGCACCTGCTGGCTCCGGGGCACGCCCACCCGCCGGCCCCGGGGCACACGCACCTGCTGGCTCCCGGGGCACACGCACCTGCCGGCCCCGGGCACACGCACCTGCTGGCTCCGGGGCACACCCACCCGCCGGCTCCGGGGCACACGCACCTGCTGGCTCCGGGGCACACGCACCTGCTGGCTCCGGGGCACACGCACCTGCTGGCCCCGGGCACACGCACCTGCTGGCTCCGGGGCACGCCATATCGGAGGTCGTTGACGAAGTGCTCGCAGTTCCCGTCGATCAGGCTGTACTGCACGATCTTGTTGATCATGTTGCGTGTGCGCTGGAGGATCTTGTCCACGGGCAGCGGCAGGTACGTCCCGTCCAGCTTGTTGTTGACCTTCCAGGAGCAGCCGTGCAGCACGTCCTCCAGCCGGCTGCACTTGACCACCGCCCGGTTGCTGAAGATGGAGGTGATGCTGCCGGCCAGGAATTCCTCCCCTGGGGCAGAGGAAACAGGGGCTGCAGAGCCGCTGGGGACAGCGGGGCCCAGCCCGGGCGAGCCGCCGCCCTCCGGGGCCTCAGTTTCCCCATCTGTCGGAGGTGTGCAGGGGGTGGGGAGCTGGAGTGGATGAGCTGAAGGACCAGGCTGCCCAGGAAGCCGGGCCTTGCACTGCACCCCGCTCTCCACCCACGGCCTCGCTCCTGGAGCTCTCACAGCCGAAGGCCTGGCCCCGGCGGCACTCCGTGTCCTCCCCGCCAGGCGCCAGGTGCCTCCACACGTGTGCCGAGCGCCCGGCCGTGTGGGCATTGGCTCCTGGGTAAGGGGCCAACGTGTGGGTCCATGACACGCGTCCTTCCGTAGCCACGGCCAGGGCGCAGGCAAGTTTCCTGCTAAGTGGGGTGTTTACTGCTCAGAGGGCCGTGCCGAGGACACCGGGAGGAGCTGGGGCGCTTCACTGGCCCGCCTGACGCCGCCAGCACGGCCTCGCTCTTACTCGGGGGCGCCAGGTGGACCACACGGTCGCCCTCCACGCAGATGGCCCAGTGCTCGTAGCCGATTCGGAAGATCTCGATCAGGTCCCCAGGTCTCGGTCTCAGTTTGCCCTACGATGGAAAAAGGTGCCGATCCATCCAAGGCCCATGTGTTCGGGACCCCGAGACCCTGTCCAGGCACCGGCCACCCTCAGCCTGCAGACACGCCCCTGCTCGCCATGCAGAGCCTGGGCCTGGAGCGCTCCTACACGGGGGACGGAGGCCGCCCGCCCGCTGTCTCCTCATTGAAGGCGGAGGCTACGTGCTCGGTGCCGGGCCCTCCGTACGGGCATGGCCGCCCTCCGTACGGGCACAGCCGCCCTCCGTACGGGCACGGGCTGCGGGAGGAGCGAGGGCTCCTGCAGGTGCCTCAGCTGGAAGCTGCACGCAGGCTGAGCGGTCTCGGTGGAGGCACAGGTGGAGGGACTTTGCAAGAGGAAGGGGCGCTCCTGCCACGTCTGCCTGGGGGGAGGGGACCACGGTCCGGGCAGTAGGGGGGTGAGGACATCTGGGGAGCTCTGGGGAGCCCAGATCCCCCCCGTCCCCACCCCCTGCAGCCTCGGCCTGGGGATCGCCTCTGTGGGACCTCTGACCCCAGCGCTAACGTCACGCTGCCTGTGTGTGTCCCGCCCAGCGCTGAGGGGGAGCTGCCTGCCTGCACCCCTGGCTAAGGACGTGGCACTGCCTGCCTGCACCCCTGGCTAAGGACACGGCACTGCCCGCGTGCGTCCCTGTTCAGTTCAGCGTTGACCTGAAGCTGTGGGGGAGGGGAGCTGGGCTTGACGGGGGACCTCAGGCTGTGTCTTCCCCCCCCCAACCCAGAGGGACTTGATGGGGGTGGGGCCAGCCGGGTCTGGGTCTCTTGCATTTTCGAAATGCATGTGGTTGTGGGCGGGGACTTGACTCTGGGTTCTGCAGTGTGCCCCAGACTCTGACAGGAGATAGATTTTCATATACATTTACTAATTTTCTTTCCTCTCTGACACTTCTATTATAGGAAAAGGGCAAACAGAAATATTAGAACATTTCTTCTAATCAAGTTCCTTTCAATGTGCACCAATTTTGTGCACCGGGCCACTCGTTCCTCAATAAAGCTCAATAAGCAGCTCAACAAAAAAACGGATTCTACAAAACTAAAAAGCCACAGCCGACAGCCCAAGTGAGGATGCAGTTCGACCTGCCGCTCGGTGCAAACCGAGTGCCCTGTGGTTGTAGAGAAGGCCAGGGCCGAGGAGCCCGGGGCACCCACCTCGGCCGCTGGCTTCGTTAACTGGCCCGAGCTCTCAGACCTCAGAGCCAAGCTGGTCTCTGTTCTCCTCTGGCTGGGCGTGGCCTCCGCGTTGACTCCCGGCTTCTCCCTGGAGGGGTTTTGCGATCATGTAGTTAACGGAAACCCGTCTTCACAACAACGGGACGCTCTGCATTACTTCCGACGAGTGACTTTGTCACCTTTCACTTTTGAGATCCTAGGACACGCCCCCTCTCCCCCGGAGTTTGCTTCGGGGACACCATCCACTGCCCCACAGGAGGCCGGCCGCTTCCTGCTCTCCAGACAACTGTTTTAAAACGCTGGTGGTAACAGTGGGTAGCTTCCAGAATGTCTGTGTTTGCTAACAATAGTTTTTGAACGTTTATCCAAGTGATACTTGCGTATAGCTTTGTCAAAAAATGGCAACAGGCCCTAGCCGGTTTGGCTCAGTGGATAGAGCGTCGGCCCGCAGACTGAAGGGTCCTGGGTTCGATTCCAGTCAAGGGCACAAGCTTGGGTTGAGGGCTCGATCCCCAGTGCGGGGCATGTGGGAGGCAGCCCATCAATGATTCTCTCTCGTCCTTGATGTTTCTATTTCTCTCTCCTTCTCCCTTCCTCTCTGAAATCAATAAATTAAAAAAAAAAATGGTGACAGTACAGAATGGCTTCTAATGAGATGCAAGAGGCCTCTGCTCCCTCCCGGGGTCCTGCCTGAGCCGCTCCTCCTGACAATCAGCTCCACGGTCCTGAGAAATCCCGTGGAGCCCCAACACTGTGGCCGCAAGCGACGTGACAGAAATCGGAATCCTGTCCCTCCAGACAGAATACTGCAGGAGAGGACTGGCCCTGGGGTCGAGATAGAAGAGGGAAATACACTAGAGCCCAAAAGACCCGGGTTCGAGACCTGGCTCTCACAGCCCAACCTTGAGCAAGTAAATCAGTCCGTCTGCAATGCGTGTGATGGTCTCTGAAGCAAACGGTGATGTTGGTGTCACAGAGCTGTCAGGAGGCTTACATGAGAGAGCGTGTGCACCTATCCGGCACAGTGCCAGCCCCCAAAGGCATTTCCCTGACCTTTCCCAGCGGTAACTCTCCCCTGAAGTGTGGTGAAGGGGGTGGGGGACGGCTGTCGCATTTGATGCGGGTCCGGACACTCAGCCCCTCGGGAGTTTACAGAGAAGCAAACCCTGTGTCAATGGAAGGGAACTGAGGAACTGGCTGCATCCTGCCCTGGCCACCAACTGGCGTGTTGGAAGGTCCTTCAAAGCAGTTGGGCCCTCCGGTTCTGGAGAAGGCCTTTTGGGGAGAAGCCCCCCCCCCCCCCCCCCCCGCACCGTGGCCAGGCCCACACCGCCTGCTGCCCACTGCTTAGTGGTTTGCGCAGAAATCACGCCCAGATTTGCTTTTGCAAAACCCGTCCTCCCGATGGCTCTCCCGCTCAGAGCCGGGCCTCCCGTGCGGAGCACTCACCCCTCCTCCGACGGGCCCTGCTTGGGCGAGAACTGGACCAGCGCCTGAGAGCCCGGGGATGCTTCTATTTTAAGAAGAAGAAGAAGAAAAAAAGCGATTTATGTCCCACCGCCTTCCCTGGAGGCTGAACCTGGGGGAGGTGGGCTGGCAGCTCTGGTCTAGGGCCTGGCGGCCGGCTGGCCGGGATCGTTCTTGGTGAGCGGAGGGGTTTGTGGGGAAAGACGCTGGAGAGGGCCGTCCCTCTGGGAAGGAGAGACGGGAACTCCAGGGCACAGGATCTGGGCGAGGAGGAAGGCAGGTGTCTCTGTTCCAGATTGCAGACACCCCGGGGCTGCCCTCGCCGGTGCGGCTCAGTGGATAGAGCGTGGGCCTGCGTACCGAAGGGTCCCAGGTTCGATTCCAGTCAGAGGTGCCTGCCTGGGTGGTGGGCTCCGTCCAAGTGCAGGAGGCAGCGGATCGATGATTCTCTCCCATCACTGATGTTTCTATCTCTCTCTTCCTCTTTATAATCAATGAGGAGGCCGCCTGCCCCACTTAAGTTAGTAATAAGCCATCATTCCCCCTTATCCGCTCGTTCCCGTTAGCAGGCATTTCGCACAAACGAACGTCTACAAGAAGGACTGGAAGGCACCAAAGTGGCTTTTCTGGGGGGACCACCCAGCGTGGCGGCTCCATGGGGACCCCCCTCCCCCCAGCGCCCCGCCCCCGCCCCAAGGACTGTCAGGAGCCGCTCGCTCCGCACCTGGCCCCCTACCTGCCGTTCTTGGGGTCCGTTTGGGCCCGAACCTGGGGAACTTCGCGGGGCAGAGCCGGCCCTTCCTCCCCGCCTCCGGGCTCAGGCCCGGCCCCGAGCTGTGGCGTGTGGGGTCGGGGCTCAGGCCCATCCTGAAGTTGTGGGTTCGGGTCCTGGCCTGGCAGAGAGGAGGCAGGCCGGTCCCCGTGGGCGTGGCCCCAGGTCCCCGGAGCCGGTGGGAAGAACGCGGAGGAGGATGGGGGTGGGGGCCGCAAACGGGCGGGCGCGGGGCGCGGGGCGCGGGGCGGGGGCGCGGGGCGCGGGGCGCGGGCGGGGCGCACCCAGGAGAGAGGGCGCCAAGAGGCTGAGTGGAGAGGCGGGGCAGGCAGGGGTCTGGGGGCTGCTCGAGCGGTGCGGGGACACGCAGCACAGAGTGCGCACAGACTGGGAGGTGGCGAGGGCGCGGCTGGAGGAGCTGGAGGTCACGCGGCAGCCGCGGAGAGGGGGTGGAGGCCCGGTGAGGAGGGACTGGGGCGGCTCGCTCAGGAGTTAAAATCTTGAGGGATTCAAGGTTTAAAAAAAAAAAATAAATAAAATAAAATATATATATATATATATATATATATATATATATATATATATATATATATATATTATTGATTTTTACAGAGAGGAAGGGAGAGGGATAGAGAGTTAGAAACATGGATGACGGAGAAACTTCGATCAGCTGCCTCCTGCACACCTCCCACTGGGGATGTGCCCGCAACCAAGGTGCCTGCCCTTGACCGGAATTGAACCTGGGTCCCTTCAGTCCGCAGTCCGACGCTCCATCCACTGAGCCAAACCGGTTTCGGTGGACTCGGTTTTATATGCATTCTTCACATATATATATTTTATTTTAAATTTCTAACGTAAATTATACACACCATGCACCACCGACAAAAGAATACATGAAGCACACGCAGTTATGACACATGATAATACAGGTTCTGCCCACGAATGCGCCACCCAGGGGAGAGCGGGCACCCAGCGCAGTGCCCGTCCGGCACCCGTCTCCCGGAGGCCCGTGGGGCCGCCCCGCACGCGGCCAGGGCCGGAGCCCCCTCCCGGCTCCCCTGTCCGGCAGCGCCCCTCAGCCAGGCTCCGTGGATGCCTCTCACCGGGCATGTCTCCTGATCACCCCCCTTCTGTTCCAACTGGTGCCCCGAACCAGGGTCCGGTGTTTCCGGGGACGCAGAAAAGATTCGGGGGGAGAAAAGGGCGGAGACGGACAGCAAAGTAGGCTCTCCGCCTCGGCCCCGGAGAGGTCCGTTGGAGAGCCAGGTTGTGAGAGGCCGCCGGCCACGTTGGGGGAGCAGGCACCACGGGACCCCTGCCAGCGGGCTGCGCCCCCCCAGGCTGCGGGTAACTGGTCACTTGGCACCTGTGCCCGGTTAGAACAGTACGTGGCTCCTTTGTGGCTTGGGCCACAGCCCCACCTCTGCCGGGGGAGGCAGAGGAGGCGCTGGGACCGGACAGGGCCTGCCCCATCCCTGTGGTCCCTGGTTGTAGAACCCCGTTTTGAGCGCCGGCTCTGTGTCCGGGGTCCACTCAGCACCGGGGTGAGAGACCCAGTCCCCCCGCCCCCCATGGGACTGCGATCGGAGAGCGGGGGAGACACACAGTGAACAGACATCCGTGTGAGTTCTGACGAGTGCTCAGGCCGGAAAGAAAGGGAGGGGGGGCTTGGGGAAGAGGGGTCCCCTCTGCAGGTGTCAGGGTCCTGGCCAGCCTGGACCTCCCTGACCAGCCCCCTCGCTCGGGCTCAGGACGGAGGCGTTGCCCTCCCTGCGCCCAGACAGACTCACAGGCATGAAGGCTCCTTCTTACCTGGAACCTCTTCTGTCCAACAAGCTCTGGGGTGCAAGGAGCCCCTCCGAGGTCCGGGCACCCGCAAAGGGAAACGGAATGTGCCGCCCTCCTTCCTCCCCCCCCCCCCCCCCCCCCCCCCGCCTGCAGGTGTCACCGGCCCAGGCCCGGCTGGGCACTGGCCTTGGGGGTTGGAAAGTGAACAGTTACAGCTGCCGTTGAGTCCTGTTTCCCTCCACATCCCGCGCTGAGCCTAGAACGTGACCGCATTTGGAGCCAGGGACTCTACATGGACTGTGAGGCTCTGTGGGTGGCCTAGTCCGACAGGACCGGTCCCCTTACAGGAAGGGGTGAGGCACACGCACACGGAGGAGGGACCACCGTCCGCAACCCGAGGAGAGAGGCCTCGGGAAAGGACCCTGCCGCACCGTGACCCCGGCCTTCCGGCCGTCAGAGCCCAGGCACGCGAGGGTCCGGAGCAGCCCGAGCGAGCCAGCGCCTCTCCTGGCTGATTCGCAGGCAGGAGTGAGGCTGGGTGGGACGGAGGGCGGCGCTGCACTGGCCTCAGGCTGGGAGGCTGGGAGGAGGCTGAGAGGCTGGGAACAGGCCCAAAACGGATGCCCAGGGTCACTGCCCAGCTGGTTTGTCCACCTCTGCTCCCCCCCCCACCCCCGTCTGCATATAAATTTTTCTACCTGAACACACCTCGGATCGAATTTCCCCGCACAAGGCAGCCCAGCTCCACCCCCTCAGGAAGATCTGAGCACACTTCCCGACTCCGAAGTCAGTGCTTTTCAGACCTCAGCGCCTCAGTCCCCTGGACTCAGTCCCCTGGACGGGGCGGGGGTGACACGGAGATTCCAGGGCCCTGAGGTTCTCCTCACCAAGTGAATTTCTTTTTTTTTTCTTTTTGTTATGTTAATCCTCGCCCGAGGTATTTTTTCCCAAAGGCTTTTATTTATTAACATCTTTATTGATTTCTTTAGAGAGGAAGGGAGAGGGAGAGAAACATCAATGGTGAGAATCATTGATAGGCTGCCTTCTGCACCCCCCCTACTGAGGACTGAGCCCACAACCGGGGCATGTGCCCTTGGCTGGAATCGAACCTGGGACCCTTCAGTCCTCAGGCCGACATTCCATCCACTGAGCCAGACCAGCCAGGGCACCATGTGCGTTTCTAACAAGCTTTTAGGTGATGCCAATGCTGATGCCACCCTTGAGTGGCAGCTGAGTTGCCTTCCCCTCCCCCACGGCCCATGTGCTGGCCCTCCTTCAACACAGCCCTGGCCCTTCCCAGCACCCCCTGCCCTTGAGCCTCTGCCCAGCCCGGTTCTGCCATGAATTCCTGCTGCCAAGTCTGACACTGGGCAGATCCGGGACTTCCCAACTCGGGATAAAGGTGAACGGCTGTGGGGCTCTGACCGGGAAGGCCTTGTTGGAATTCAAACCGTAGCTGGACCACCTCCCCTTCCTAACGCGGCGGCCTTCACCGCAGCTCCCCATGTGGCGGTGACCCAGCCATACATTATTTCCGTGGCTCCTTCGTAGCTGTGATTTCGCTGCTGTTATGAATGGTAACGTGAATGTCTGTGTTTTCCGATGGTCTTAGGCTCTACAGCAGCGGTCCTCAGCTGCGGGTCGCCGGGGCGGGGCGAGGGTGCGGGCGCGGGCCCAGGAGCGGGTGGGCCGTGCCTCCAGGGCCAGCGCCAAGCAGCGTCAGGACCAACAGCGGGACCCGCGGGCAGAGAACCGCTAGCAGGGTCGCTAAGACCTTCGGAAAACACAGACATTCACGTTACCGTTCATAACAGCAGCAAAATGACAGCCATGAAGGAGCCACGGAAATAACGTTATGGCTGGGGGCACCGCCACATGGGGAGCTGTGGTGAAGGGCCACGGCGTTACGAAGGCCGGGAACCGCTGGGTTAGAGGGTCAGGGGGGAGCTTGATAAAAATGCAGGTGTTTGAGGGCACCCCAGACACAGACCTCCCTGGGACACACACACACACACACACGCACACGCACACATGCACACACGCACACGCACACACACGCCCAGCTGTGGCCGCCCTGTCTGCGTACGGACCACTGGAGGGAGTCCCAGGGGCCGTGGTTTGTCCCAGCCGCGCGGCCCAGTGGCTGAGCAAGAACCCGGGCCCCCTTGGGTGCTGTGCCGCTCTCCGTGCCTCGCTGCCTTTTCTGAGCTCAAAGGGGCCCCTCCTCTCTTCCTGCCCCCCCCACCCCACTTTCTTGGGGCACCAGCTGGGCCCTGGCATTCCCAGCCGATGCTGAAATGGGGCCCCAGGGAACCATACAACTTACAAAACTGAGAAAAATGGAGGAAAGGGCAGGGGAATGAGGCAGAGGAGAACCTCCGTGGGGAGGGGGGAGGGGGGTGGGGAGGAGGGAATGGGGAGCCAGCCAAGATGTCTAGGAAGCTGGGGAGCTGGGGGCGGGGCCTGGGAGGGCTCGGGGCACAGGCCTGGACACCTTCCCTGGCCCCCAGGAGCCAGCCTCTGCCCCTCCACCCACTCTGCTCCGGGACAGCCGCCCGTGCTTCAGGCCCAGAGGGGCCCGTCGGTCGGTCGGTCGGTCGGTTGGTGTGGCTTTCCTTCCCGGACACGGATTGCTGCCTACAGCCCAGCCCAGCTGGCAGGGCTAGGGCGCGGGCGTGGCACCAGGAGCGGGTGGGCCGTGCCCTCCCCGGCCAGCGCCAGCAGCACAGGACCAACAGCGGACCCGCCGCCCGGGGCTTAGGAGCCGCTGGGAGGGTGAGTCAGCGGCTCCGGTGGGAGGCGCCCACCACCATGTCACCGGCAGAGAAACTGGACCCGCTTCCTGACACCTTCATCCTGCAGCCGCCAGCCTTCCACCCGGTGAGCAGCCTCCTCCCCTCCCCTCCCCTCCCCTCCCCTCCGCGGGGGCCTCAGGCGGTGGGTGGAGACACACCGCCTGCAGCCCGGGCCTGCGGCTGCCCAGCACCTGCCCTCTGCTCCCCAAGGGCCTCCTGAGCTGGGCGAAGCGCTGACCAGCTGCTCCCACTGGTCTAAGGGGTCAGGGGGGAGCTTGATAAAATGCAGGTATCCCGGTGCACCCCCAGACACAGCCCTCCCTGACACACACACACACACACACACACACACACACACACACACACACGGCTGTGGGCATCCTGTCTGCATACTAAGAGGGAGACTAAGAGGGAGTGCTTGCATTTAAAAAGCAGGAGAGCTGTGAGCAGGAGCATCTGGGGGAGGGGGGTGACAGGAGGGCCTGGGGGAGGGGGAAGCAGGAGGACCTGGGGGAAGGGGAAGCGGGAGGGCCTGGGGGAGGGGGTGTCAGGATGGCCTGGAGGAGGGGGTGACAGGAGGGCCTGGGGGAGGGAGTGACAGGAGGACCTGGGGGAGGGGGAAGCAGGAGGACCTGGGGGAAGGGGAAGCGGGAGGGCCTGGAGGAGGGGGTGACAGGAGGGCCTGGGGGAGGGGGAAGCAGGAGGGTCGGGGTGTGGATAGTATCATTGGGGGGACACTGAGCACCTGGCAGGGAGGCAGGAGGGAACGTCCACGTCAGGGATGGGCAGGCTTCCTGGCTTCCTCCTCCCGCTGTGGCTGTGTCCGTGGGGATTTGCAAAAGGCAGAGCTTTGCAGAAGGAGCCGCAGGCCACGGGATGGGAGCCAGCCCAGCCGAGCTGTGGGTGCTCTGGCCTTTGGACCCCCTGCACCTCTCCAGGCCCTAGCGATGGGGGAAGCAGCTGTCCCCGCACCCCCCTTTCATTCTCCCCCCATTCTCCCCCCCCCCCCCCAGCCCCTCCTAGCTTTCCAGGCTGCAGCTCCGCCCAGTGAGGTCGGAGGTTGGCGGGAGATGCAGGTGGCTGGAGCCTCTGGAGGTGCTGGGGGTGGGGAAACTCTGGAAGGCTGGTCCTGTGACCCCGCCCGCTGTGCACCTGCCGCAGACACCTGTTCAGAGCCCACGCTGTGCCAGCCGGGCACTGAGCCCACAGGGGGAGAGGCGGCTGCGGCTTTGAGGCCTTGTGCCCATGAGCCAGCCGGCAAGGGCCGCGCTCGCCAAACCCGCCGTGTTCTGGAGCGCGGGGAGGGGAGCCGGATTCAGACACTAAAGGGTGTGGTGCCAGAGAAGGTGCCAGAGAAGGTGCCAGGAGCCTCGAAGGAAGGTCCAGTCGGGGGCGGGCGCAGGGTGCGGAGGAAGCAGCCGGAGAGGCGGGGAGCGCAGAGCGCGCTGTGGCTGCTGGGCAGCTTGGAGGCCAGTGTCAGTTCCTGTCCAGGCGTCCGCATCAGGGCCCTGCTCAGGTGCCCGCCTGTCTGTCCCCTCCTGTCCGTCCCCCTGCCTCCCAGTCCCAGGCTCTGGCTAGGGAACAGGCCTCAGGGAGCCTCGAGAGTCCACTCCTGCAGGCCGCGGTGCAGCAGCGGGCGGCCAGCCTACCCGGCACTGCTGTGCCCTGGGCTCTGAGGGCGGGGCGGGGCTGGCGGGGGGGGGGAGTTTGGGGGGGTGAGGGGGGGGTTTGGGGAGGTGAGGGGTTTGGGGGTGGGGGTGTGGGGGGCACAGAGGAGCTGAATTTGGCTTCTCCAGGGCAGTGTGGCTTCGACAGGTGAGGGTGCAGTGAAGGGGAGAGAAAACTAATCCCCCAGCTGCTTGTGGAGTGGAGGAGAGGGAGGGGGGGTCGAGTTTTCTCCTTCTTGGGATATGGGGCCCCTCGGCCTCCTCTCGGACCAGCAGGGTGCGTGTCTCCCTGGTTCAGGTGGTTCCTTATGTCACAACCATCTTCGGGGGTTTGCGCGCGGGCAAGATGGTCCTGCTGCAGGGCGTGGTGCCGCTGGGCGCGCGCAGGTGAGGGCGCCCCGGGGGCAGGAGGGGGTGGGGCGGGGGTGGGGGGAGGTTGGGGAGTGGGGGGAGCGGGGGGAGGGGCCGGCTCAGCCCCGGGCGGAGCAGGGCTCCTCCCGGCCTCCCTCCCCGCCCGCGGGCCTCTGAGCGGAGCGCGCCGCAGGTTCCAGGTGGACTTCCAGTGCGGCTGCAGCCTGCACCCCGCGCCCGACATCGCCATCCACTTCAACCCGCGCTTCCACACGGCCCAGCCGCACGCCATCTGCAACGCCCGCCAGGCCGGCCGCTGGCAGGCCGAGGCCCGCTGGCCCCGCCTGGCCCTGCGGCGCGGGGACAGCTTCCGCCTCCTCTTCCTCTTCGGGCACGAGGACGTGAAGGTGCGGGCCTGGGCCCCGGCCCCCGGGCCTAGAACCGGCGTCCTTCCACCGTCCTTCCCGTGTCCTTCCGCCCGTCCTTCCCGTGTCCTTCCCCGTGTCCTTCCCCGTGTCCTTCCGCCCGTCCTTCCAGTGTCCTTCCCGTGTCCTTCCGCCCGTCCTTCCCGTGTCCTTCCCGTGTCCTTCCCCGTGTCCTTCCCCGTGTCCTTCCGCCCGTCCTTCCCCGTGTCCTTCCCCGTGTCCTTCCGCCCGTCCTTCCCGTGTCCTTCCCCGTGTCCTTCCCCGTGTCCTTCCGCCCGTCCTTCCCCATGTCCTTCCCCGTGTCCTTCCGCCCGTCCTTCCCTGTGTCCTTCTCATGTCCTTCCCCGTGTCCTTCTGCCCGTCCTTTCCCGTGTCCTTCCCCGTGTCCTTCCCCGTGTCCTTCCGCCCGTCCTTCCCTGTGTCCTTCTCGTGTCCTTCCCCGTGTCCTTCCGCCTGTCCTTCCCGTGTCCTTCCCCGTGTCCTTCCCCCCGTCCTTCCGCCCGTCCTTCCCGTGTCCTTCCCGTGACCTTCCCCGTGTCCTTACAGCCGTCCTTCTGCCTGTCCTTCCCGTGTCCTTCCCCGTGTCCTTCAGCCCGTCCTTCCCGTGTCCTTCCTCGTGTCCTTCCCCATGTCCTTCCCCGTGTCCTTCTGCCCGTCCTTCCCTGTGTCCTTCCCCGGGTCCTTCCTCTGTGGAGTCCCCCCAAACTGTGTTCCGGGGCGGGGGGGGGGGTCAGGGGCCCAGAGGACGGAGGAGCTGCCGGCCGGCCCGATGCGAGCTGCACTGAGCGGCCCCGCCCGGCAGGTGAGCGTGAACGGCCAGCACTTCCTCCACTTCCGCTACCGGCTCCCGCTGTCCCGTGTGGACACCCTGGGCATCTCCGGGGACGTCCTGGTGAAGGCCGTTGGGTTCCTGAACGTCAACGTAAGTTCCCGTGGGGCCGGGCCGGCGTGGCAGTGGCCTCTGACCTCCTCTGGCACAGACAATCCTGTGGGGCCAGCCGTGACCAAGGTGGGGGTGTGGAGGTGCCGGCCATGAGTGGGGTGAGGGCGGGAGAGGTGACGACAGGAGGGGCGCAGGAGCTGGAATGGAAGCCCATGCTGGGCGTGGGGTCCGGTCAACATGGGAGCAGAGGCCGGGAAACAGGCAGTTGGAGACGTGGCCCGAGGGGCTCAGACATAGCAGCTGCTGTCACTCCCCCGAGGGCGTGTGAAAAGGCAGGCATCTGGGGGCCGAGGCCTGATTCCAAGACTGAGGTGGAGCCTGGGAATCCGAGAGGCCAGCTCGGAGCAGCGCTCAAGGCTCAAGCGACCTCTGCCAGCATCCAGGCCAGGCAGGCAGGCAGGGCCAGGCAGGGGCAGGCAGGACCAGGCAGGCAGGGCCAGGCAGGGGCAGGCAGGACCAGGCAGGCAGGGCCAGGCAGGCAGGGGCAGGGGCAGGCAGGCAGGGGCAGGCAGGCAGGGCCAGGCAGAGCCAGGGATAGGGCCAGGCAGGCAGGGCCAGGCAGGGGCAGGCAGGGGCAGGCAGGGCCAGGCAGGGGCAGGCAGGCAGGCAGGGCCAGTGGCCCTGAGTGGGGCAGTAGTCCTGATCCCGGGGTTGCCTCTTCTCTTTCCCAACAGCCGTTTCCAGAGGGGGGCAGCGAGTACCCAGTTGGACATGTGAGTCTTGTGGGAGCAAAGAGGGCCCTGATCCCAGACGCTGGAACGGAGCCCCTGTTCTCCCTCCCCCGGCGTGACCTGCCCCTCACCTGCTGGGCTGCTGGTCCCCGGCACATGTATGGTCGCCATGGATACAACTGGCTCTGCCTTGGCCCCTGGAGAGCCTGGGTTGGCCTTGCCCAGCGCCCAGCTGTCTCCTGGGCCAGCTTGGGAAGAGGGACGGGGGAGGGGGTGCCCTGAACGGGCAGCCCTGCATTCATGCTGAAGATCCCTGTATATCGGAGCTTCCGATTCCCGCAGCCGGCCCAGGAGGCGGCTGGGCTGGCCTGGCCTGCGGGGTGGGGGGTGGAGGTGTTGGGGGGGAGATGAGGCACAGGTGTCGCCAAGGCCACGAGGTGACGAGGGACAGACCCTCTGCCAGTCCTTCCCCGGGTCCAGAGCTGGCGTCCATCTGAATTCCCGAGGGGCCCACCAGGCCCCACTCGCTCACCGGCACGGTCTCTGAGAGTGACCATCCCCACACACTAGCGGCACTGCCCAGCGTCTCCCTTTCACTGCGCAGCCCCGCCTGACCTCCGCGTCCCTCTTCATTCCTTACAGCCCTTCCTGCTGGGGAGCCCCCGGCTGGTGAGTGAGCGCCCCCAGCCCGCACCTGCCCCGGGGTAGGAGGCCCCCACTGGGGGGATGTGCCCCCCACTTCTCCCTTCAGAGAGAAGTGTGGTGTGGGTGGCAGCGGCAGGCTGCGTGTGCTCCAGCTGCCCTGACCTTGCCTTCATTCTGCTCAGTTACTGGATCCTCCCCGGGCCAGGCTCTGGGGGAGAGGGACAAGCCAGTCCCCAGGCTTCCAGCTGCCCACAGGCTGGTGGGAGGCAGACCAAGGAAATGGCCATTACAATTTGGGGTGCAGGATGGGGGGCATCCGTGGTGCCTGCAGCACCGCGGCAGGGAGCTCGGCCTGGGAAGGCAGGGAGAGCAGGGAGAGCAAGCAGAGGCCAGGCCTGCAGGGTGTCTGGTGAACGGGCAGAGCGGAGTCCCCCCCAGCTGCAGGCCTAGAGGCAGAGACTTAGCTGCTGCAGGGCCCCCTGCCCCTGAGGGTGACCCCCAGAGCTGTTCCTGGGGCGGCAGCCCTCCCCGAGCCTCTGTGGGCACCTCAGGCGCCTCCTGTGTTCCCTCAGGAGGTGCCCTGCTCACGCCCCCTCCCCCGGGGCCTCTGGCCGGGACAGGTCATCCTGCTGCGGGGGCTGGTCTTGCCGGAGCCCAAGGAGTGAGTACACCCACGGAGGAGGGAGCACCCCTACTTTACACCCATTTGCCTCTTCGTCTCCAAAGCCACCATTAACCCCGTTTTATGGAGGAGCAGACGTAGGAGCGGAGAGGAGTCAGCTGGTCGGGGTTGCAGAGCTTGCACAGGGCGGGCTGGGGTCTGGGGTTGGGACCCAGCTGCCTTCTGGGCCCAGCAGCCCCAGTTCTGGGCGCCCTCGCTGGGGCCTCCCTGGAGAGGCGCGGGCGGAGCCCCGAGAGGGTGCGCCCTCCAGCGGTGACGCGGCGCCCCGAGAGGCGGCGGTGCTGGGGGTGGGGACTTGGGGGGGCAGATAGCCAAGGAGACACTGCCTACTTCCCCCGCTGGGGGCACCCCTGCTCCACCCCCAACCCGCCCTCCTCTTTTCCTTTTCCTGGCACTGCATTGGACGCCCTGGCCTTTCTGGGCCACGCTGCCTCCTAGGTTTGACGGGGAGTGTGTGTGGGGGACCATTACTGCCTGTGCAACCTCAAGGCATTCCTTCCCTTTCTGTGCCTCAGCTTCTTTGCCATGAGAGGGGTGCTAATGCTCGGGGCGGGGTGAATGCTCCCAATTGTGCCAGACACACAGCTGGTGTCCCCGAGGAGGAGGGGCGGGGGACTCGGGGGATGCCTCTGTGCTCCCACCTTTTCCGATGGCTCTGTTACTGTGTTTGAGGTCACTGGCCTCACTCATCCCCTGCCCTCCTGCCCCAGCCCTGACAGCGCGGACCTCAGAGCCAGGCTCCGCCGGGTGGTCTCTTGGGCAGCCCCCTGCTTTCTGCGTCAGGAATCCCGAGTTCCCCACCAGGAAGGCAAAAGGAGAGATCATCCCGACCATAACAGGCACACGAATGTTCCCAGGGATAAAGACACCGTCCCCTGTGCCCCCAAAACACGAGGCGTGAGGCCAGGCGCTGGCCCCGCTCGGAGGAGTGGCTTCCGGGCGGAGGAGGAGCGTGGGCTGCCCGGACACCGTGCAGGCCACTGGCCGTCCCCACTGGGCGCAGCAGTGGCCGCAGGCAGTGCCGCCGCCGCAGCTGTCGCTGGTTTTACGAACGGGGCGAGCATGTGCACTGAAGTGTGTCCTCCTCCTCGGACCCGTCCCCCCAGCACTGAGGATCTGGGGTTCGGCAGCAGCCTCAGAGAGCACCCCCAGAGCTGCCCTGGGCCTCCCGAGGGAGTCAGTACCCCCCGGGCTGAGGGGGGACACTTTGGCCCCCAAGGGTTCTCAGGCCACTGGGAAGACAGGGCTTTTCTGAGGAGGAGTCTGAGGGAAACTGAGGCACAGAGCCACTGACATGCCCAGGGCCACGGGACCGAGGCAGAGCTGAGGGCAGCCCCATCTAACCCCTTGCTACCTGGCACACGCCCTCAGGAAGCGCCGGCATTGCTAGTATCGCCATTGTCCCCGTTCCGAGGAGGGGAAACTGAGGCTCGGGTGAGGTCGTGGCTCCCTCGGGTGAGGTCCTGGGGCCAGTGAGTGGCCACGTGGGGGTTCAGTCTCCACGTGAGGTTTCTGCAGGCGGTTCGCTCCGCACTGTCAGGGGTCCAGGGCTGCTTTCTGGGGGCAGGACCCGCCCCATCTTCCAGGCCCTCCCCCTCCGGGCCCAGCAGCCACAGCAGCGGGGAGGGGTGGGGGAAAGTGGGGGGAGGAAGCTGAGCCCCTTTTCGGCTCCTGCCCGCAGCCTCACGCTGAGCCTGGTGGACGCGGCCGCGCGGGTGCCCGTGGCGCTCAGGGCCTCCTTCGCGGACAGGACGCTGGCCTGGGTGTCGCCCTGGGGCCGGAGGCAGCTGATCTCGGCCCCCTTCCTCTTCCACCCCCAGCGGTTCTTTGAGGTGGGTCACCCCCAGCACTCCCCCCGGGCACCGAGGAGGGGTGCGTCCGGGGACCTCCACGCCAGGGCTGTCGGCCGGCACTGTGGCCCGGGACCCAGGGACCGAGCGGGGCCTGGCACCAGCGTGGAGGGCACAGCTGGCACAGGACCTGGAGCTGGGGCGGAGCTGAGCGGGCCCTGGGGGGAGGATGGTGACCAGCGGGCCCGTTCTGTGCGGGGGCAGCACCGGGTGCCCCGGGGCCCGTGGGGGCGGAGGGCAGCTGGGTGGGAGGGCCCACGGGACGCCGCGGCCTCACGCCCTCCTTCGCCAGGTGCTGCTGCTGTGCCACGAGGGCGGGCTGAAGCTGGCGCTCAATGGGCAGGGCCTGGGCGCCACCAGCCTGGGCCGGCAGGTCCTGGAGCGGCTGCGGGAGCTGCGGGTCAGCGGCACCGTCCAGCTGTACTGCCTGCACCACTGAGGCCGGACAGGGGGCCCACCAGCTGCCCGCCCCGGCTCTGCCTGCCCCTCCGAGCGCCTGCCTGCCGCCCCATGCCAGGCCCAGCTCCTTCCGGGGACTGCAGAGGGCAGGCAGGGGGTGTGAGGGCGCCTCCAGCTCTGCCCCTCCTCCTCTGGGAGCCCGGGCTTTGCCTCCATCTGCCTTCAGGCCCGGAGAGGAGGCGGGTTGTGTAGTTGAAAGGGCACTCGGCATCCTGGCCCAGGGCAGGGGAGGCCCGCCGCCCTCCTGACAGCGGGGAGGGGGCGCCTACGGACCCCAGGGTCGTCCTGGCCAGCTCCCACCGCCCCAGGCCGGAGGCTTCTGTATGGCTCTGCTGCCCGCACTTCCTACACACCTGGTTCTTGTGAGAAGCCAGGGACGCGGGCGGGATGGAGGGCGGGAGGGAGGGTGGATGGAAGGCGGGAGGGAGGGAGAGGCGTGGTGGGCTTGTCCCCTGTCGCAGAGCTGGCCCCTGGGCGCCAGGGCAGAAGCAGCTCCGTCTCCCTGTCAGCGCTCCCGCTCAGGGTCCCACGGACGGTCTGGGTGTGCGGCTCCCCCGCCACGGCCATGGCGCTGTCCCTGGAGGAGAAACACCGGCCTGGGGTCGCCTCCTGGCACCTGCAGGAGCTCAGCAGCCGTGGGTCTGGGCCAGTGGTGGGCAAAGAGTCCACAGAGCCAAATATCAGCAGGACAACAATTGAAATTTCTTGTGAGAGCCACATTTTTTTTTTTAACTTAAACTTCTAACGCCACTTCTTCAAAATAGACTCTCCCAGGCCGTGGTATTTTGTGAAAGAGCCACACTCAAGGGGCCAAAGAGCCGCGTGTGGCTCGCGAGCTGCAGTTTGCTGACCGCTGGTCTGGGCAAACACCATGTGCTCATTGGAAAGGCGTGGGGAGTGGCACCCACCGAGCGGGCGGTTGTGCGGATTTGTGAGTTGAAGTTGCTTAACAGGCCGCGTACCGAGTTGGGATCAATAAATGGTGGCTCGTACTGCTGGGGAACTGGGCCATTTACACTGATCTTCCTTTAACTCTCTCTCCCCATCTATATACATATGGTATGTTTACATTACTGCCATGTTTCCTACGTGTCCCACGGCTCCTCTATCCCCTTCTCTTCTCCGTCTGCTTTGGACCTGAGTGTTGTGTTTGCATTTCACCCAGATCCTGGACTCACCAGCGGGCCCCTCGCCTGTGCTTTTAGTGACGGCTCAGGGCGGACGTTCCGCCTCACACCAATGCCGTCCGGAGCCCCATCCGGCTGAGCCGGGGGCTGTGCCTTGTGGGGCATTTAGCAGCATCCCTGAGCTCTGCCCACCGTGCCCGCAGCACGCCCAGGGTGTCCTGCCGCCCCACCTGCTGTGCCGGAGCCCTCCCAGGCCCGCAGGAGGGATCAGTGGCAAGCAGGTTTCCGTAAAGCTTCTAGATGGGGCTTTACAGCTCATGTGGCCGAGGCAGGGACACGCACTCCCTCTGCAGGGCCACTGGCCGGCGGCGGGCGGCGATGTGGGGTGTCCTGGGCTGGTGGGGTGACTGGGGGGTCCTGGGCTGGTGGGCGGCTTTATGCCACATGGAGACTTTCACTCTGGTTTCCTTCGGATGCTGGGAGACACGCTCTGCATGGAAGAGCTAACGGCTCAGTGCATCAGAAAATGGCGCCTCGGAGCCTGTCCTACATGGACGTGTGCAATAACCTGACCCAAACGCGGGCTCCCCAGGGCCGCAGGCTCCCAGGAGGGGCCTGAGCAGGCGTGGAGCCCCATCTCTGCCCCTGCTCCCCCTGCTCCCCTGCTCCCCCTGCTCTGCCTAGTCCCTCTCCTCCCTCTCCTTCCTCTCCTCCTTCCCCCTCCTCTCCCTCCTCCCCTTCCTCTCCCTCTCCTCCCTCTCCTTCCCCTCCTCCCTCTCCTTCCCCTCCTCCTTCTGCTCCCCCTGCTCCCCCCCCCGCTCCCCCTGCTCCCCTGCTCCCCCTGCTCCCTCTCCTCCCTCTCCTTCCCCTCCTCCTTCTGCTCCCTTTCCTCCCTCTCCTTCCCCTCCTCCTTCTGCTCCCTCTCCTCCCCCTCCTCCTTCTGCTCCCTCTCCTCCCCCTCCTCCTTCTGCTCCCTCTCCTCCCCCTCCTTTCCCTGCTCCCCCTCCTCCCTCTCCTTTCCCTCCTCCCTCTCCTCTCCCTGCTCCCGGAACTCAGGACCTCTCCCCTGGACCCTGGGTTGCCATTTCCAGGCACAGAGATGAGGACCCCAATCCCCCGCTAGGGCATGGTCTTAGCAAAGCCTTCAGAAATACTGGGCCACAGACAGTGGGGCAGACCAGGGGCTCCTGCACCCTACGGGGGACCCCCAGCAGGTGGCGCCTTAGAACAAGGGGCCCACGAGCTCATTGGCCTCAGGGTGCCTGTGGGTGGGAGAAGCAGGACTTCCCTGAGAGCTTCCGAAGCCACCCTCTGTCCTTGGACAGGAGAGGGGTGGGGAGGAGATGGGGAGGCAGGGCACAGGCTCCGCCCAGCAGCTCTGCAAAGAGGCTCTTTTTGCCCAAAGGACTTCAGGAGCATTTTCATCCCGGGAGAAGGGAGAAGGTGGCGATGGGGCTGGGTAGGAGCCACCAGAATGGAGACACTCCGCTGTCGTACCCGGAGGGACGGAGCAGGAGGAGCAGGGGGGAGTGGGCGGGGGGACAAGGGGACTCAGCGGGAGCTCCCGGACTCTCCGGGAAGGGGGGGTGCGTAGGTTAACGCTTTCGGGGAGTGGGCCGGGTACAATGGAGCAGGGCGCAGCCCTCGGCTGTGTGGCCACACAGGTGCCAGCTGCCCACGGACCGCGAGAAGGCGCTCACGTGTCCGTGAAAGCACACGCACCGCAGGGCTCCCTTAGTCCTGACGCCCCCGGCCTCCCGCTGAGCTGTCTGCTGCCCCACGGCTGTCGGCTCGGGCTCCCGGAAGCCGTGTGTCTTACAGCTGCGGCCCCCCCCCCCCCCCCAAATCCACTCCGGGCTTCCTCCAGGGGCAGCAGCACCTGGCTCCCCCGCTTCGCAGTTTCTCTGGGGACACACTTCTGGTTTTACCCCCAAAGCCCTGGGCCCCCGGGTTTCCATCGCCCTCCCCCTCTCACCATGGGGCTCTTTCTTTCGGGGCTTCAGCTCCTGCAGAGCCCAGCGCCCCCTCCTTCGCTCTCCTGGCGCAGCGGGGACACCCCTGTCGCATAGGCACTGCGGTTCCCCTCGGGGACCTCTGCAGCTGGACCGGGCCTAAACCCGCACGTCTGCCCCAGCTGGGGCACCGCACCTTCCCCCGCACCCCGGCACCTGGGAGATCAGGGTTTCTTCTCAGCGGTACACTTAGTCGGCATTTTCAGGGGGAACATTTTCACATTCCTGATGAGACGGTGGACTCGGGGCTGACAACGGGGAAGGGAAGGCATCCCGGGGTCTGGCGTATAGAATAGCATTTCTCGTTGGGAAAACACACATTTGCCACAAAAGCACCCAATCCAAGTGACGGGGTGTGACAAGTGCCACTCGGTGGCAGTCCTGGGAGCCTCGCCCTCGTCATGGAGCAGATCGTGGGAGAGCCCGTTTCCCTCAAGGGCAAGGGCACGCGCATGGTCAGCTGTCCTGGGAGACACCGGTCCGGGCGGCTCAGGTGTCAGGGCCGGGAGCCATGCTGGGACAGGGAGGTCCCCCTCCATGGGGTGTGGCCCGGGATGTTGGGGCCTGGACCCCGGGAGGGCCACGTCCCAGCATCGCCTGTGGAAGGCAGATCAGGGTCCTTGCAGGGACAGGCATCTTGACTGTGTAAATACACGAACCCACGTGCGTCCTGGATCGGGGCATGGTCACATGACATCGTGGCAGCGATGTTATCCCCCAGCTCTTCTTCCTTCTGGTAAATTCCCTTTATTAGCTACAGGCTGGGGTTTGCTAAGCTCTGGGGGTGGAGGGTCCAGACTTGAATATCTTTGGGATGGGAAGCAAAGTGGGAAGTGCCCCCTGTCTGCAGGGCCAGAGGAGTGGCGGCCCTGGTGACCCCACAGATGGATGCTCTCCGGGGGCCACCTCTGGGGAAGCTTGGTGGCAGACACAGCAGCCCAGCAGCCTTGAGGGGGGGGGGGTCGCCACTTCCAAGCCCACATGAGACGCAAACAGGAAAACAGTTGGGACTGACATCCAGAAATCAGACCCAGAGCAGACTGAGCCCATGAAGTGAGTGATCTCACACAATAGTCACGGGCAGGCCAGGCTGGACCCAGTGTGTTAGCTTCCACCTTTATCGCAGTGGAGGTTGGCCCCTGAGGCACTGCCTGGCGGGAGGTGTCTGCCTGCTCTCATGCTGGACTCATCGCCGGATGCTGAGGCCAGGCAGGGGGATTTGAGTCCCTTGTCCACCCAGAGAGTAAAAGTAATCGAGGCAGGAGCCAACGTGAGTGGAACCAATGTCTGCTGATGGCCGGCAATGTGCTAAGGAAGCCCGCGGGGAGGCAGCCACCCTCCCCCCACGTGGCAGAGAGGGAACTGAAGCTCAGATTTCAAGGGTCTTTTTCAAGACGAGCCAGTGGAAGTGGCCAATGGGTGCTCAATGGTAGATGCTTCCTTTTCAAAGATTTTTTTTTTCCAGTTTTGTTTTTAATTTCAAGAAAAAATGATTTTAAATATAATAATGTTACATAAATACCAATTATTCAAGAGAAAGGATCTTACACATAATGTTACATGCAATAAATATTAATATCTCAAGAATGTCCAAAGATGCTTGGGTCTGCAGGAAAGCAGTGGAAATAATTGATGAAGGGGTCACTGGCCTCATTCATTTCCTTCCTCAAGAAGCTGTGGTCTTGTTAGAAGTGGCTCCTCAAGATGGCAGGGCGAGAGAGAACCAGGCACAGGGGGGCAGCTGGTGCTTGACGCAGCCTCTGACTGGACACTTTAGTGCCTTCCTCATGCACTCATTGCTTCTGGGGAGCACTGGGAAGCAGCCAGGATTGCAGCACAAC